TGAGATATGAGACTTACAGTTTGAAGATAGCCCTGGCAAGAAAGTCCATCCAACTCTTATCTCCAATTAACTACCAAAAAGATAGAAGCTGTGGATCAAGTAGTAGAACATCAACCTTGAATGAAAAAGCTAGTGGATGGCAGCCAGGCTCTGAGTTCAAGTGTTAGTATTCACACACACACACACACACAGAGGAATTCCTAGAACTTGTTCCCATCTTGCCCAAGCCAAAGCCTCCCCTGGTAAGGCCAGTGAATTAGTCCAAGCCCATCATGAGTACAATTCTCATACCTTTACGTTACTTAGTGTATTATTTATGAGGAATTTCAAATCCTTCTGCGTAGGAATGAGTCTGGGTGAATCTGATGTCTTAGTAGTCTTCCAGTTTTTAGACATCTTGGGTTATAGAATTCGTATAAGGTAAGAGTGTGAATCCAACGTGTGATATTAGCTAGATCTTAGAACTGAGAAAGAGGGAACAATGGGACAGGTTAGAAGAAGAACAGAAGTACTTATCAACAAGAGAAATTCCTGTTTTTTTTTTAAAAGTAAAAATGGACTGCAGATCTTTTCAATAACATTGGTGAACATCAGAAAGATTATATTGAGTTCAGGAAAGCAGACATAGGCTTAGCGTTGGTGGCTCATGCCTGTAATCCTAGCTACTCCTAGCTGAGATCTGTGGATTGTGGTTCAAAGCCAGCCTGAGCAGGAAAGTCCATGAGACCCTTATCCCCAGTTAACCACTAGAAAACTGGAAGTGGCCCAGTAGCTCAAAGTAGAGTACTAGCCTTGAGCAAAAAAGTTCAGGAACAGCACTCAGGCCCTGAGTTCAAGCCCCACAACCAACAACAACAACAAAAAAGAGGACAAACAGAGTTTATTGCACCATCTAATTCCATGTATATGAAATTAGAAAATAGTAATCCACAGGCTGGAAATGTGGCTTAGTGGTAGAGTACTTGCCTAGCATGCATGAGGCCCTGGGTTCCATTCCTCAGTACAACATAAACAGAAAAAGCCAGAAGTGGTGCTGTGGCTCAAGTAGTAGAGTGCTAGCCTTGAGCAAACGAAGCTCAGGGACAGTGCCCTGGCTCTGAGTTCAAGCCTCAGGACTGGCAAAAAAAAAAAAAAAGAGTAATCCAACCTGTAAAGACAGATAACACATCATTGGTGACCTCTGTCCAATTTAGGAGATTACTTTAGAAAGGGCAACAGTGAACTTTTTTCCAGTGTTAGTAATGTTCTGTATCTTGACTTTGATAATGATTTCATGGCTACATAAATAAGTGTACCTTTCAAATGATTGGGAATGAGGGAGAGAAAAGGAAAAGAGAAAGCAAGAAGAGAGGTAGATACAGCATAAAAATGCATTATTATTATTATTATTATTTTGTCAGTCCTGGGCTTGTATTCAAGGCCTGGACACTGTTCAGCTTCTTTTGCTCAAGGCTAGCACTGTACCACTTGAGCCACAATGCCATTTCTAGCTTTTTTTGTTTATGTAGTACTGAGGAATCGAACCTAAGGCTTCGTGCATGCTAGGCAATCACTCTACCACTAAGCCATATTCCCAGCCCAATGCATTATTTTTTTTTGGGGGGGGGGTCTGATCGTGGGGCCTGAACTCTGGACCTGCGTGCTGTTCCTCAGCTCTTCAGCTCAAGGCTAGCGCTCTACCACTTGAGCCACAGCGCCACTTCTGGCTTTTTTTTTTCTTTTTGCTTATGTGGTGCTGAGGAATGGAACCCAGGGCCTCATGCATGCAAGGCAAGCGCTCTACCACTGAGCCACCTTCCCAGCCCATCAATGCATTATTTTTTAACTGCAGGACTTTTACTATTAAACTCAGCAGACAAAAAAATGCAAAATTTCTGAAAATGGATACTGGTGGCTCATGCTTATAATTGTAGCTACTTAGGAGGCTAAGATCTAAGGATGGCAGTTGAACAACAACTCAGGCAGAAAAGTTTGAGTGACTTTATCACCAATTATCCAGCAAAAAAAGTTAGACCTGGAGATGTGATTCAAGTGATAAGAGCACCAGCTGTGGATGGAAAAGCTGAGCACGAATATGAGGTCAGCCGGGCACTCACGTCTGAATTCCTAGCCACTTGGGAGGCTGAGATCTGAGGAATGCAGTTCTAAGCCAGCCTGGGTAAGAAAGTCTGTGAGACTCTTATCTCTAATTTACCATCCAAATACTAGAATTAGAGCTATGACTCAAAGTGGTGGAATGCTAGACTTAAGTCCAAAAGCTCAGGGATAGTGCCCAGGCCTTGAGTTCAAGCTCTATAACCAAAGAACAAAAAAACCAAATGAACAAAAGAATATGAGTTCAATCCCTGGTATTAGCAACGATTTCCATAAACGTTCCTAAATATTTACTCTGAGTTTCTGAAATTATTATATTGAGGACACTGTATACTGTGGAGAACCTTCTTTGGGATTCTTTTTTTTTTTTTATTTCTTATTTTTTCACTTTATTCATTTAGCAATGTGTAGGAATTCTTTGGGATTCTTATACCTGGTTCAACATTTCCAAGAGTTTCTCTTCTACCCAGCAAGAGTCACTATTTTACCTCAATTTGTACTACAAATCAAGTTTAACACTCTCCAAAGTCTTACATAGACTTTTCTAGCACATTCATGGAAGTCCAAATAATTGAATTTTGCAAGGAAAGGTGTGTGTGTGTGTGTGTGTGTGTGTGTGTGTGTGTTGGTCCTGGGGCTTAAACTCAGGGCCTGGGTACTGTCTATGAGCTTTTTTTTACTCAAGGCTAGTGATTTACTACATAAGCCACAGCTCTACTTTTTAATAGTTCATTGGAGATGAGTCTCGTGGACTTTCCTGTCTGGACTGGCTTTGAACCACAATCTTCAGATCTTAGTCCCCTGAGTAGCTAGGATAACAGGTATGAGCCACCAGTGCCCCCCCCCCAAGAATTTTTTTAAGTGAGAAAATGAAAAATATTTAAATATCTAGAAGAAGAAACCACTTTTAAAAAGGGAGAGTAAAAGTTCAGGAAAGGGAGAATAGGCTGTTACTCCAAGATGATAGGAAGAAAATTGAGCTTTAATCCACAAGTCTCAGAGTCTTATTAAAATTTCTTCTGGCAACTTAAGACTAGAAGCTATGATGGGGAAAATGGGGATTTCCTGACCCTTCAAACTCCTAAATAAAGACTTCATTTCACCAGGTTTCTGATTAGTCAAACACTTCACTTTAATCCCTTTTTGACCTTTTCCATATTACAGCATTTAGAAAAAAAGGTGAGGTAATGAAATTCAAAAAAGGCTGTGTGTGTGTGTGTGTGTGTGTATGCACACACACATGCTAGTACTGGGGCTTGAATTTAGGGACTCACACTATCACTTAGCTTTTTCTGGAGTTCTACCATCTAAGCCTTACCTCCACTTTTGGCTTTTTACTGGTTAATTGGAGATAAGTGTCTCTCAGACTTTTCTGCCCTGCTGGCTTTGAATCTCAATCCTCAGATCATAGTTTCCAGAATAACTAGGATTACAATTGTGAGCTACCAGCACCCAACTCAAAAGGCTTAAATTTAAAAAAGAAAGCACTACAAATGTTATTACTGCCAAAAGGCCATGCTGAGTTAGAGGGAGGATAAGAGAGATGAATCAGAAACATTAGAGTCAAATAGAACTTACATTAAAATCCTGGGTTCTGCCACTTCAGTGTTTCCTCTTTATTTCTTTTAGACTTCTCAGCTGAACAGTCTTATCTCACAGAAAGCAGAAGACTTAATGAGCTCAGCTGGACCTATGCCAATCACTATACTTTGTCCCAGTAGGGAAAAGCCTGCTGATATAAAATATCCTAGGCTTCCTCACCTACTTTCCATTCTCTCTTAGCACAATCGTCTCTTCATCGTCTCTAGACAATTACATACCATTAGTTCTAGAAGAGACAAAGTCTTTACAACTTCCCATAGAAAAGTGAGTCACTGGCTTTAACATCATAATGCATCAGACTCCTCCAGTCCCCTCCCCCACCCTAGACATGGTGTCCAGTGACAGTGCTACCATTACTTAAAACCTGAAAAATCCCCAGTGGGATCTTATACTTTTTAAGAAATTAAGCTGGGCACCAGTGGCTCATGCCTGTTATCCTAGCTACTCTAGAGGCTATTAGGATGGTGAGTTGAAGTCAGCCCAGGCAGGAAAGTCCAGGAGACTCGTCTCCAGTTGGCCACCAGAAAACCAGAAATAGAGCTGTGGCTCAAAGTGGTAGAGCACTAGTCTTGTGCAAAAGTGCTCAGGGACAGCGCCAGGCCTTGAGTTCAAGCCCCACAACTGACAAAAATAAAAACTAGACTAAACTTAAAAAGCTCAGCCAGTGCTCACATCTGTAATCTAAGCTACTTAGAAGGCTGAGATCTGAGGATCACAGTTGGAAGCCAGCACAGGCAGGAAAGTTCATGAGACTCTTATCTCCAATTAATCACAGGAAAAGCTGGAAGTGGAGCTGTGGCTCATGTTAGAGTGTTAGCCTTGAGTAAAAGGAGCTTAAGGACAGCACCTAGGCCAAGCCCAGGATTGGCAAAAAAAAAGCTCAAGGACAGAGCCCAGGTCCTGAGTTTAAGCCCTAGGATTGGTGGTCCTCCTCTTCCCCCTCCCCCCCCTCTTCCCCCTCCTCCTCCTCCCCCTTCCTCCTCCCCCTCCCCTTCCCTCTCTTCCCCCTCCTCCTCCTCCTCCCCTTCTCCTCCTCCCTGTCCTTCTCTTCCTCCCCGCTCCTCCGTTTCCTTGGTGAACTTTCTAGAGAAATAAAGTTTTGGGGAAAAGAACTCATCAAAGCACTTGTTACAAACAAGAATCTCCTCTTTATTCTCACATATAAAAACTGGATTTTAGATCTGGGGAGGGAAAGCACTTCAACCTGGTCTTGCCTGTGTGTGGGCCCTAGAGATGGTATAGATTCTATGACCAGGTGTAGCTTTTTCCAGTTGTGAATGAAAAGTCCTGATTTCCAGCTAGTCTCAAATGGGAGTGGGAACAATGTGGTCAGGTAATTTCTTAGTAAGACGATTATCAGCATAGGGCAGGCTCCTCCAGGCAAGTTCTAAGATCCCATACTGGGCAATACCTTTGGGAAGAATGGTGCGCACATTATTCTGTCCAGGAAGGGGTATCACACCGCGGAATTTGAAGGAAGCTGCAGGAAAATGAGTGCCCCCACAGATCAGGCAGTAGAACAACCTCTCCCCAGGTGCTAGTTCCATGGCCTTCAGGGCCTCTTGATACATGGTTTCTTGGGGTTGAGGCCCCCCCCTCACTACCATCTCCTGTAGCAACTTCTGGATTCGAGGAGACTTAAGCTGGTATAGCTCCATGACATGGTGGAACTGTTCCTTCCACGCAGCTGTGTCTTTGCCGTAACGCTGCAGCAGCATCCGCAGAACATGGTACAGAGCCACAAATGTCTCCCATGGTAGTATCTTTCCCTTTTTTCTTGTGGGCTCTCTCTTCTCTTCCTCATCCTCCTCTTCCAGCTTGGGCAATTTGGGATACTTGCCTTTCCCCTTCAAGTCCCATAAGTCTTTCTGAAGCATGAGTGCCAGGGTTTGTCTGTCTACAGGGGTGTAGGCATCAGGGCAAATGTCTCTTGTGACAGGATAAAAGTGTTCCATTTCCATCTCTTTGATAATATTGAATAACTCCTGTATCCGGGCACTCCTGTACGGTTCTCCTAAAAGATCCAAGTTTACAGCCTTAGGTTCTGTGATTCTCTTAGTATCTTCTGTGGACTCTAGTGTTGGGCCAGTCAAAGGTTCAAGCCCACTACCTTTCTGTTTTCCTTTTATAGGGGGAATCACTTTCAGGTATTTTGGACTCATGGGCTCCCTACTGGGTCTGGGGATACTTGTACTTCGTGCCTCCAGGGCCCGCTTGTGATGGTGTACCATGGCTTCGAGTACGGCCAGGTGGAGCCACTCTAAGTCTCCCTGGGAGGTGAGGTCTCTGAGGAGCTGACACAGTCTGTGGAAAGTGTCTCTGGGAAGCTGTTTTCCTGCTTGCAGCAGTTCAACAACACGGTGCATCCACTCTATGTCAGAGGGCCTGACCTCCATGGAGATGTGGGGAGTAGATTTTCTCATATCCCGTTCTGTCACAGGTGGACGATGCTTCACAATCCATTTCACCTTCCCCTCTGGTGTTATTTGTTTGACTTTATGAGCTTCCTCCAGCTTCCTAAATAGGTGGGGGATGAATGGTGTCTTCATTTGTATCTCCTTGGGGGGCTCTTCAACTGTCTCCAACATGGGTTGAGCTAAGGCCTGAAATTTCTCCAACATTTCTCGTGGTAAACTGGTAAACTTGAGGTTCGCCTGTGGGAACAGCTGGCGTGTCTTCAATGCTGGGATGCTTTCTTCCCTGAAGAGTGTTGATATTTCTGGCATTCTTTTCTTCCCTCTCATCACTAGAGATGCAGCGATCACTCTGGCAGTGGTCTTCTCACCTACGTTGACAGCACTGCCTCTGATCTTAGGCATACTTGTTTTAATAGAAGGCATCAGTTCTTGCTGTTCTAAGTACTTATCTCTTTCTTCTAATAACCTAAACAGTTTTTGTTGTCTGAAGATATCTTTGCCACTGACTAATAATGGTCTCCCCAATAGGCTTATCTTCCCTTCCTTTTCCTCTTCTGTCTCCCTCACACTTTTCCTGTCTTCCTCCTCAAACCCTTCCTCTTCCTTTGCCTTCTTTTTCTTCCTTCTCTTCCTCTTTTCCACCTTCTCCTCCTTTTCCTCCCCCATGAGCTTCTCTTCTTCCTCTTCCATTTTATCCTCCTTTTCCTCTTCCTCCTCCTTTTCCTCTTCCTCCTCCTTTTCCTCTTCCTCCTCCTTTTCCTCTTCCTCCTCTTCCTCTTCTTCCTCTTCCTCCTCCTCCTTTTCCTCCTTTTCCTCCTCCTCCTCATCTTCGTCCTCAGACAAACTCACTAGCCCCACATTGTCTAACAGGGTTTCCATTTCTTTAGAAAATTTCTCTTCACTTTCCAGCTCCTCTTCACTGAAAAGCTTTTCTTTTTTGACAGAAATTCTCCTCAACTGTTTTCTATTTTTCCACATTTCTCTAAAGAATGGGATTTCCTCTTCTTCCTCTACTATTGCTTCCTCTTCTGTAGCCTGTATGAATTCTTCCTGTTCTCTGGCCAATATAGTTTCTTGTTCGGCCACTTTTTCCTCTAAGCCTATCATTTCTCTCATTTCCTTGGCCAGTTTTCTCTGCTTTTTGGCCAGTTTCTTCTCATCTTCAGTCATTTCTACTTGTTCCTCAGAAAAATCCCAGTCTTTGATATCAAGTCTGTCCTCTTCCTTACTTAATTTGTGCTCCTTAGCAAAAAGTGCTCCCTTTTTCTTTGCCATCTTTATTTCTTCCTGGGTTATTTTCCTTTCATTACTGATTAGTTTTTGAAGTGCCTTTAAGAAATGCTTTGTTTTTATTGGCTCGTTGGCAATATCCTGCTTTTCTAGAACCATTTTCCTTAGTACCTTGGCTAACTTCCTTTCTTCTTGGGCATATGCCCTATGTCCTCTAGTTAATTCCAAGTTTCCTTTGGCAATGTCCCTCTCCTCTGTGGCCAGCAGCCTATCTTCATATGTAAGTATTTTCTCCTCTAGTAACAGTTTCTTCCTTATTGTGCCTATTTCACTATCAAGTGTTGTTCTGTCTCTTGACATTTTCTGAATGTCTCCCTTGGAGAGAATTTTAATCTCCTCAGACAGCCTCTTTTTCTCTTGGGACAATTTTTTCATTTCCATCTTGAGTGCCCTTTCTTCTCTAAGAATATCCTGCTCTTCTCTGAGCAATTTCTTTTCCTGGAACAATGCCTTCTTCTCTGTAATTAATTCTATCTTTTCCTTGGCCATTTTCTCCTGTTTTTCAGCTAAACTTTTACTAGCTTGAGCCAGCTTCTTCTCCGAAACAATAATATTCACCTTCTTCTGGTTCAGTGCTAGCTTTTCCTGTTTCATCTCCTCCTCTAATTGAGTCACTTTGTCCTTGAATAGCTCCAGTCTTTTCTTTATTTGAATTAACTCTTCTTTCCCTTGGAGGAGTCTTTCTTTGTCTTGCTGGAGAATCTTTTTCCTTGGAGGAAATTTTTCCCTTTCCTGAGCCAGATAGTTCCTTTCCTGAGTTATAGTTTTTTCTTCCTCAGCCACTCTTTTCTTGTTCTTTCTGACTTCTCTCTTATTAAGGATCAGGCTGTCCTTTTCATGGATCAGTTTATCTTTGTTTATTTTTATTGCCTCCTTTTTCTGAGCTAGTCTTTTCCATTCCAGATCTAACATTTCAGGATCTATTATGGCTGTGTTCTTGCTAAGTTTCTCTTCTTCCTGGGTCAGCAGCTTTTCTTCCCAAGACATTTTTCTCTCTCGCTTATTCAGATTCTCCTCCTGCAAGTTGAGTGCCTTCTCTTTTTCAGATAGTTCCTCTTTTTCTTCAAATAGTCTTTCTTCTTTCAGATTCAGTTCATCTTCTTTAGAAGCCAACTCCTGCATGTTCCATTCCAGCTCTTCTATTTGTTTAGCCAGCTCATCTTCTTGCAACTCCAGATCTTCCTCCTTCTGGGCCATTACTTTCATTTTCTCGGACAACATTTGTTTTACCTCAGTGATTTTTTGTCCTTTCTTTGCGACTTTCTCTTCTTCTCCAGCAATTTCCTCCAATTTTGTGGCCAGATTCTTTTTTTTCTGGGCCAATTGTTCTGCTTCCTTGCTTAGCCTTTCCTCTCTTGAAGCCAGTTTTTCCTCTTTCTTGCCAATTTTCCTCTCACTAATGGCCAGTTTCCCAACTTTGGGGGCCATTTTCATATATGTTAGGGCCAATTTTCTCTCTTCCTTGGCTAGAGTTTTCTCTTCTCGTGCAAGTTTCTCCTCTTCTTGTGCTAGTAATTTCTCTGCTTTGGCTAGTTGTCTTTCAGCTTGGGCTCGTTTCTCCTCTCTCCAGGCCTGTTTGTGTTCTTCTTGGATCTGTTTCTGTTCTTCTGTGAGTATCCCCTCCTCTTCCTCCTCTTCTTCCACCTCCTCCTCCTTCTTTTTCTCCTCCTCCTCTTTCTCTCCCTTCTTCTCCTCCTTCTCCTCCTCTTCTCCTACTTCTTTTTCTTCTCCTTCCTCTTCTACTACTACTCCTTTTGCTTCTTTGCCTTCTTCTGTTTCTCCTTTTTCTTCTTTGCCTTCTTCTTTTCCTTCTGCTGCCACTACTCTGGCTGCAGCTTCTTCTACTTTTGCTTCTTCTTTCCTCTCCTCAGACACTCTCTTCTCCAGCATCTGTTCTTCCTCTTCCTGGATCTTGGGTTCCATCTTTTCCCAGATCTTTTCCCATTCATCCCATGTCATCATCTTTTTCTCTTTCTGCACCTCCATATCTGGGAATAGCTCCCTTTTAGCCCTGCGCTGTCTCTTCTTCTCTTTCCCTTTCCCTTTCCCTTCCTTTTTCTCTTTCCCTTTCACTTCCTCTTTCCCTTTTACTTCAGTTTCCTCTTTCCCTTCCTCTTCCCCTTCCTTTTCCTCTTTCCCTTTAACTTCCTTTTCCTCTTTACCTTCCTCTTCCATTTCCTCTTTCCCTTCTTCTTTTCCTTTCACTTCCTTTTCCTCTTTCCCTTCCTCTTCCTTTTCCTCTTTCCGTTCCTTTTTTCCTTTCCCTTCCTCTTTCCCTTTCACTTCCTTTTCCTCTTTCCCTTCCTCTTCCTCTTTCCCTTCCTCTTTCCATTTCCTTTCCTCTTTCCCTTTCACTTCCTTTTCCTCTTTCCCTTCCTCTTTCCATTTCCCTTCCTCTTCCTTTTCCTCTTTCCCTTCCTCTTTCCATTTCCCTTCCTCTTTCCCTTTCACTTCCTTTTCCTTTTTCCCTTCCTCTTCCTTTTCCTCTTTCCCTTTCACTTCCTTTTCCTCTTTCCCTTCCTCTTCCTTTTCCTCTTTCCCTTCCTCTTTCCATTTCCCTTCCTCTTTCCCTTTCACTTCCTTTTCCTCTTTCCCTTTCACTTCCTTTTCCTCTTTCCCTTCCTCTTCCTTTTCCTCTTTCCCTTTCACTTCCTTTTCCTCTTTCCCTTCCTCTTCCTTTTCCTCTTTCCCTTCCTCTTTCCATTTCCCTTCCTTTTCCTCTTTCCCTTCCTCTTCCTTTTCCTCTTTCCCTTCCTCTTTCCATTTCCCTTCCTCTTTCCCTTTCACTTCCTTTTCCTCTTTCCCTTTCACTTCCTTTTCCCCTTTCCCTTTCACTTCCTTTTCCTCTTTCCCTTCCTCTTCCTTTTCCTCTTTCCCTTCCTCTTTCCATTTCCCTTCCTTTTTCCCTTTCCCTTCCTTTTCCTCTTTCCCTTCCTCTTCCTTTTCCTCTTTCCCTTTCTCTTCCTCTTTCCCTTCATCTTCCTTTTCCTTTTTCCCTTTCACTTCCTTTTCCTCTTTCCTTTCCTCTTCCTTTTCCTCTTTCCCTTCCTCTTTCCATTTCCCTTCCTTTTCCTCTTTCCCTTCCTCTTTCCATTTCCCTTCCTTTTCCTCTTTCCCTTTCACTTCCTTTTCCTCTTTCCCTTTCACTTCCTCTTTCCCTTTCACTTCCTTTTCCTCTTTCCCTTTCACTTCCTTTTCCTCTTTCCCTTTCACTTCCTTTTCCTCTTTCCCTTTCACTTCCTTTTCCTCTTTCCCTTTCACTTCCTCTTTCCCTTTCACTTCCTTTTCCCTCTTTCGCTTTCACTTCCTCTTTCCCTTTCACTTCCTTTTCCTCTTTCACTTTCACTTCCTTTTCCTCTTCTCTTTCCTCTTTCCCGGTCTTCCCTTCTTTCCATTCATTATTCCTTTTCCTCTTTCACTTTCGTCTTTTTCCCTTTCACTTCCTTTTCCTCTTTCCATTTCTCTTCCTCTTTCCCTTCCTTTCCCTTTTTCCCTTTCACTTCTTTTTCTTCTTTCCCTTCTTCTTTCCCTTTCCCTTTCCCTTCCTCTTTCCTTTTCACTTCCTTTTCCTCTTTCCCTTCCTCTTCTTTTTCCTCTTTCCCTTTCCATTCCTTTTTCCCTTTCCCTTCCTCTTTCCCTTTCACTTCCTTTTCCTCTTTCCATTTCTCTTCCTCTTTCCCTTTCACTTCCTTTTCCTTTTTCCCTTTCACTTCTTTTTCTTCTTTCCCTTTCCCTTCCTCTTTCCCTTTCACTTCCTTTTTCTCTTTCCCTTCCTCTTCCTTTTCTTCTTTCCCTTTCCATTCCTTTTTCCCTTCCCCTTTCACTTCCTCTTCCCCTTTCACTTCCTTTTCTTCTTCCTCTTCCTCTTCCGTTTCCTCTTTCCTTTTCCATTCCTTTTTCCCTTTCCCTTTCACTTCCTCTTTCCCTTTCACTTCCTTTTCCCCTTTCTCTTCCTCTTCCTTTTCCTCTTTCCCTTTCCATTCCTTTTTCCCTTCCTCTTTCACTTCCTTTTCCTCTTTCACTCCCTCTTCCTTTTCCTCTTTCCCTTCCTCTTTCCTTTTCCATTCCTTTTTCCCTTTATCTTCCTCTTTTTGTTTCACTTCCTTTTCCTCTTCCTCTTCCTCCTTCCCTTTCCCTTTCTTTTCTTCTTTCCTTTTCACTTCCTCTTTCCCTTTCCTTTTCTTTTCCACTTTTCCTTTCCATTCCCTTTTCCCTTTTCCTTTTCTTTCCACTTTCTCTTTCCCTTCCTCTTCCTCCCCTTCTACTTCCTCCTCTTCCACTTCTTCCTCTTCTACTTCTTCCTCTTCTACTTCCTCCTCTTCCACTTCTTCCTCTTCTATTTCCTCTTCCTCTTCTACTTCCTCTTCCTCCCCCACTTCATCTTCCTTTCTCCTTTTCTTTTTCCCTTTCCCTTTCTCTTTCCCTTCCTTTTCCTCTTTCCTTTTCACTTCCTCTTTCCCTTTCCTTTTCTTTTCTGCTTTCCCTTTCCATTCCCTTTTCCTTTTCCTTTTCCCTTCCGCTTTCTCTTTCCCTTCCTCTTCCTCTTCCTCCTCTTCCTCTTCCTCCTCTTCCTCTTCCTCCTCTTCCACTTCTTCCTCTTCTACTTCCTCCTCTTCCACTTCCTCTTCTACTTCCTCTTCCTCTTCTACTTCCTCTTCCTCTCCCACTTCCTCTTCCTCTCCCACTTCATCTTCCTTTCTCCTTTTCCTTTTCCCTTTCTTTTTCCTTTTCTCTTTCTTTTTCCTTTTCATTTCCTCTTCTCCTTTCATTTCCTCTTCCTCTTTCATTTTCTCAAGATACCGCCTGTCCCAGTCTTTTTTCCATTCTTCCCATGTTACCTTTTTCTTCTTCTGGGCTTCATTCCAATCATCCCAAGATAACTTCCATTCTTTAAAAGACATCTCCCTCTTAAAACCAACTGGTTTTTCTGGCTCAGCCTCTTCCTTCTTTGGAAGAAACATACTCAAATCCCTCTCTTCCTTCTCTTTTTTACCTAATTTCTTTTCTTCTTGGATTGTTTTCTCCTCTTCCTTCTTGGGTTTCTTTCCTTCTTTCTTTAACTTTTGCTTTCCCTTTGGTAGCTCACTTGGTTCTAAAAAAATCACTTTCCTTTTCTTGTCTTTTAGAACCAGTTCCTCCAACTCTTCCTTTTCCTCTTGTTCTTCCTCTTCCTCTTGTACTTCAGTACTCTCTGGCTTCTCTTCCTCATCTGTGATCACCAGGTCCTCCTTAATTGCTTTTTCATGGATAAAAGTTTTCTTCTCTTGCGAGTCTACTTCCTGGTCAAATTCTGCAAACATATCCTCACTGTCTTTCTTGGGGCATATCTGCTGAAAGAGTTCCCAACTGGGGCGGCGATCTGCTAACATCTCCTGAGCTATAGCCACCAGCTCATTGTCTAGATCTTTTTCCATTTCTGCATGGGAGGTAGATATCCTTAGAGCTATAAGACGACATAGATCATTCCGCCATGAAGTATCTCCTTTAGTACCAGGTTCTCCATCAGCACCCCGCGGAATCTTTCTCCTAACTAGTTTTGGTTTTTCTGGAGGCAAAGGTTTCTCAACTACCTCTTTTTTTTGCTTCTTGTGCTCTTTTCTGAGTTTCTGTGGTTTGCCTTTTTTGTGCTGCTTCCTCAGCAATTTAACGGTTGCAGCCATGTGCTCCTTTGAGACATCCTTTGAGACATCCTTTGAGTCATCCTTTGAGACATCCTTTGAGACATCCTTTGAGACATCCTTTGAGACATCCTTTGAGACATCTTTAGGCAACTTCATTTCACTGCTTACTGAAGATATTCTTGATGTGTCCTCCATCTCAGCTGTGGTGGCTTCAGCCTCAACTTCAGCCTCCACAGGTGTCTCTACGCTTACCCGTTTAGCTTCTCCCACTTTCAATATCTTGAGAGCTCGAATCAGTTTTCGCACTGCAGGGAAAACCAGGAGGTAGAAGTTAAGTCAAGCATCAGAAACTAAATGAAACTCTTCCTAAACCTGGTGTGCCATAAAAGAAGTAACAACAAGCCGGGTGCCTGTGGCTCACGCCTGTAATCCTAGCTACTCGGGAGGCTGAGATCTGAGGATCATGGTTCAAAGCCAGCCCAGGCAGGGAAGTCTGAGAAACTCTTATCTCCAATAAACCACCAGAAAACGGGGAGTGGCGCTGTGGCTCAAGTGGTACAGTACTAGCCTTGAGCTGAAGAGCTGAGGGACAGCACTCAGGCCCAGAGTTCAAGGGGGAAAAAAAAAAAGAAGTAACAACAGCTAGGCATAGGTGGCTCGTGATCTCTAGTTAACCACCAAAAAGCTGGAAGTAGAGCTGTGGCTCAAGTGGTAGAGCATTAGCCTTGGACAAAAAAGCCAAGGGACACACCCAGGCTCTGAATTGAATTCAAGCCCCAGAATACACAGACACACATACTTACTTTCAGGATTCCCAATTCCCAGATGCTTCTCTGACTATAAATTTTAGATATAGGCCTTTGTGCCTTTCTGATTTAGGTGGATCATTCCTAGGGTAATTGTCTTCTATGACAAGCTCATTCTACTTACCTCTCTTCCCACATTAGTATCTACTGACCTACAGAAGACCTAACTACCCTGCCTCTTTGGGGACCCAGAGGCATGGACCAGATCATCCCATACATACAGTGCTTTTTCTCGGCTGTTTGGGGTTGTTTTATTTGTTTGGGTGGCTTGACTTCTGATTCTTCAGACTCTATGAGTTGCAAGGAAGATAGTTTATGCAGAGATTCTTTTGAGACATCTGAAAAAACCTCAGGCTTTTTATCTTCTGATGGGGTCAAGTCTTCATTTAGTCTCTGTTCCAGTTGAGAGACAAGGATTTGTATATCTGTTGGCCGAATCCCCAGCAAATGGTCCAGGGATTCCTCCCCAGTCATCTCTTGTCTATAAAAATCAAAGGAGAGAATGAGAAGAACTTAAAACAGGCAGGGAGTTGAAAGAGTGCCCAAAAGAGACAGCATAGCTACAGGCAAATGATGGCCTCTGCAGTCTTGAAAGTCAAGATGGAATGATCTGAAGGGAAGCTACAGAGGTAGAGAGAAAGATGACAAAAGGAACAGAAATGGAGGTATGGTGAACAAATTCAGTCATGGTATCCAGTATACACTATGTAAAAAATGAACTATGCAATTTGTGGGCAAGGTTAGGAGGGGGAAGCTGGGAGAAAGCAAAGGAAAGGGTGACATTGTCTAAGATGAATTGTACTCATTACCTGACTTATGGAATTGTAACCCTTCTGAAACTCCTCAATTGATAACAATAAAATAATATAAAAAAAAGATGACAAAGGGAGCTCAGGAGCTTAGAGGACTGGAAAAGGCAAAGAGATAGAGAAAAGAGTTTTCAGGATTGTCAGTGATAGCCCAGAAATTTAATTTTTTTTGGTCAGTTGTGGGGCTTGAACTCTGGATCTGGGCACTGTCCCTCAGTTCTTCAGCTCAAGGCGAGTGGTCTACCACTTGAGCCACAGCACCATTCCTGGTTTTCTGGTGGTTTATTGGAGATAAGAGTCTCATGGACTTTCCTGCCTGGGCTGGCCTTGAACCATGATCCTCAGATCTCAGCCTCCTGAGTAGCTAGGATTATAGGCATGAGCCACTGGTACCCAGCTTGAAATTTAATTTTTTTTAAGCTATGAAAGAGAAGATCATGGAGAACTAATAAAACAGGGATGAAGAGATGAAAAGAAAAATGAAGGAAAATGGGGGCAAGGAAGACAAAAATCAGCAAGTGGTATAAAATTGAGGAAAGTAATCAATAACTTACTGTAACTCCCGGAAAAGATCTCGTCTCTGTATCAAGTTTAAGAGTGAAGTTTTTGTGTGGATTCCAGTCTCAGCCATGAGTGCCAGGGCTTTATTCCTTACTCTTGGATCCTTATCCAATAGTCCTTGGGCCAGAGGCAAGGCAAAAAGATGAGTAATTATTCCTAGACGTTTTAACCCTTCCCAGGCTAGTTCTCGGATCATTGCGTTGGGATTTACTGTATCATCTAGCAAACGATGAGCTGTCTCAGAGCGCAGAGTTGGAGAAACTTGATAAGAGGCAAAGATTTGCCCTAGTACACTAATACAGCACTGATACTTTACTGCATTAGCATGGACCATGATATTGAGGACAACTTCAATCAGATTATTTACAGTTGCTTCACTCATCCTTTTTCCCAGCCAACTGCGGCTTGCATCTGTGAGGACACTGTAGGTTGCATCCTTGGTTAGTCTGTCTGCTAGAAAGGATTCATTCTCTTTCTCCTCTGGAAGAGTTCTCGTATCACTTTTAACTCTTTTCCTTTTGTGCCAGAAGGAGAGAGGTTGGGGCTTGTCCCATTCCAGTTCCCGCTGAGGGGAGCGCAGATTGCACTGTAGAAATATTGGGCTGCCCTCTGGCCAAAGACGGGCACGGATCACAGAGTTGGGAATGTAGCAATCGGGGGCAAGAAGCCATTTTTGCCCCTGACCAAAGTAGCATCGCAGTATCTGATAGGGGTTGAGCCCATCCCAACTGGTCATCACTAATTGGGGAGGAAGCACATAATTGAATTGGGCCTGTTTTGACTTCTTTTTCTGGACAGTTGTTGTTGCCTCCAAAGAATCATATTTGGGAGCACTCAATAACACAATGGTCCCATCCTCATCCTCTTCTATAACATGTGGCACAGAATGGTCGAAGGCAATGGCCCGCTTATTGATAAGGGGCTCTAGACCCACTAATTCCTGTTTCCCTTGAATCCGGTTGATATACTTGGGCACAAATAGGGTCTCAAAAGAGAGAAAGAAACTTGGTATGAAAGGCTTAGGAGCTTCAAGTAATTCATCGGGTACAGTCATAAAGCATAAGTGAGACAGCAGGGATTGAGGAAGCAGTTTTAAAGATGATACCAGATAAAGACTCTGGTTGAAACTCACAAGGAGGTCACCCCGGTTATTTGCAAAACACAGTGCACCAAAGTGAAGTGATGAATCCAACATGGATATGAGTCTACCATGGAAATCCCAGATCCGGACAGAGCCATCAGAACCAGCTGTGACAAAAAGACTCAAGGTCAAGCAGACATCGAAAGATATGATGGTACATTGGTGTAGAGGTAATGTTTCAGTGAAATCTGAGCCTTTGTCTGACCCAGTGCACAGAAAATCATGGAACTCCCAGAAACGTAGGCAGTTACTATCTGTGATGGCAAACACAGAGTGGGGCAAGAGGATGATGTGTTTCAGATGACAGCTACTGAGAACGCTGGCAAGAGGCCGCAGTTGTACTTTGGCTCCTTCAAACATGACTTCTGATAGGTGTATATAATCATCCATTCCATAGGAACAGATCAAAGAACTTTCCCGGTTAGCAAAGATCCCTGCAGTCATTGTAGAGAGAGCCAATACAGCCCCGTAGTGGGTAAGTTTCTCAACTCGGGCACACATGTGCCGGGAAAGCACTCTTACCATTCCACTTTGGTGTCCAGAGAGTATCAGTCCTTCTGTTCCCCACCCCAGTTGGAAATGCCCATAAGCCAGGCACTGTACCATGTCTTGAGAATCTACTGAGGTGCATAAGAAATACTTAGTTGGGCAAGGGGAGCGGGTTGTGTCAAACACCAGCACCTCTGAGGTGCCTGTGGCTACAAAGAGTTCCTCCTTCATTGGATCATAGGCCCAATCCACAGCCTTGTCCAGGATGACAAAGGGCCAGGTGACAACCAGAAGATCCCCCGTGATTGGAGACAGAAAGCGCAAGAGGCCATCCTCTGTAGTACACAGGATTCGGTACCAGTTCTCTCCACAGCGGATTCGACGCACCTGCTGGGTGGTGCAGCCACAGACGCTAAAGAGGCTATAGAAGCAGGGCAGACGATGTAAGGAAAAAGTATGGGAAGTTTGGCAATAAAAAGTAGTGTCATCAATAAATTGGAGGCGGAATAACTGCTCTTCAAGTTCTAGTCGCCGAAGTAAATTCCCAGAAGTGAGATTCCATTCCTTGATTATGCCTTCTTGGCCAGCTGATAGTAGAATGTGAGCCTCCGGCCGGCTACGAATACATATCACTGTTGAAGAATGGGCCATGAAATTGTGGAGAGGCTGGCTTTGTTTGAGGTTCCAGACATGGATTTCCCCAGCCTTGTTTCCGGCATAGAGAAAGCCCAGTTCAAAGCAGGTAAAGCAGCAGGTGATAGAGGAGCCACTGGTAGGGGTGGTAAACTTCTTTACCTCTTGTAGATTGCCGTGGCCCTGGCGTTCTAGGACCCTCACCACAGTCTCACACAGGGCAAGAAGGCAGTCATCAGGACCACTCAGCAAGATGTCCTGCACAAGCTCTTCACCTGGTATGGGAAACATGCGAGCTATCTGGAGGCCTGTACCACCCCGCTCAATAGTCCAGGTGACTATTCCCCCCAGATTACCAGACAGAAGCATCTTTGTTTCTGGGTCATAGCAGAGGCAGCTGATGTTGAAGCGGCAGGATACTGTGCCCATAGACTTGAAGGACCGAAAGTGATCCCCAAAAAGCCGCAGGAAGAGGTCACCACAGTAGACCACGAGAATATGAAAGGAACCAGCGTGGACCATCAACTGGATGGGTGGCAACCGTTCACTCATGGGAAACATTTTCTTCTCAACCATGTCCTCGCTTTTGCTTTTTGTCCAGACTACAGCCTGGAAGAGCATAAGATAAAATTTAAAAATATACCTAAGGCTGGGTGCAACTGATTCATACCTGTAGGAGATCTAAGAATTGAGGTTCAAAGCCAGCCCAGGAAGGAAAGGCCCTGAGATACTTATATCTAATTAACTACCAAAAATCCAGAAGTGGATCTATGGTTCAAGTGATAGGGTGCCAGGCTTGAGCAGAAAAGCTCAAGAGACAGCACTCAGGACCTGAGTTCAAGCCTCAGGATCTGTGTGTGTGTGTGTGTGTGTGTGTGTGTGTGTGTGTGTGTGTGTGCATGTGCACACACATGATTGCCTAGAAAGATAGAGGAGGAAAGATCCAATACTCATCTACTTTGACTTGTTCATTTGCTAATAAGAAAATGGAAGATTCTACCTTCTTTTGTTGGGAGTTCAAAACAAAATACCTTTTGCTTGACCTTGACTTACTTTAGGAGAGCCATAAAGTCTTACAAAAAAGCAATTAGAGCAGGGCATCACTGGCTCATGACTGTAACCCTAGCTACTCAGGAGGTGAGATATTAGGATCGCAGTTCAAAGCTAGCTGGGGCAGGAAAGTTCGTGAGACTCTTATCTCCAATTAACCACCAAAAGCCAGAAGTGGTGCTGTGACTCAAAATGGTAGAATACTAGCTTTGAGCAAAAGAGCTCAGGAACAGTGCTCAGGTCCTGAGTTCAAGCCTCATGATTGGCCAAAAAAAGAAAAAAAAAGCAATTTTAGAGAGAATGGGGGGGAATCATGGTTCAAGATTGTATTCATTTGTTCTTTTGCTAATCTAGTTGTGAGCTATGTAGGCATTGCCCTTGGAGAACAAGCTAAGACGAGGGAGGAAAAGCTGGGCATGAGTGGCTCACACCTGTAATTCTAGCCACTCAGGAGGTTGAGATCTGATGATCATAGTTTGAAGCATGGACAGGAAAGTCTGTGAAACTCATATTCAATCAACAACCACAAAAGTTGGAAATGGAGCTGGAGTTATGGTTCAAGTGGTACAGTGCCAGGCTTGAGAGAAAAACTCAAGGGGGATAGCAAGCATCCAGGCCCTGAGTTCAAGCCCTGTACTGGCACATGAAAGAAAGAAGGAAGGAAGGAAGGGAGAGAGAATGCAACAGGAAGGAAGGAAGGAAGGGAAGGGGAAGGAAGGAAAGAATGAAGGAAGGAAGGAAGAAAAGAAGGAAGGAAGGGAAGGAGGTAAGGAAGGGAAGGAAAGGAAGAAAGAGAAGGGGGAGGAAACAGCATTACCTGTACTTCTTTCGTGTAGGAGTTCACCCATGAGAGGGAAGCAAAGAAGAAGGCATCATTGAAATACTGGCATATAAGTGGCATATTTTGAGGGAAGTGAGTTTCTCTGTATAGTATCTGGGACCGGTCACTCAGCACAACTATGTCGCTCTTTGGCTTCTCAGATTCCTGGGAGAGGCATGGCATAAACTAAAGCTAAGATACACATACACTAAATTTTTTTCTCAAAGAAGTCAAGATTGAAGCAATTCCCCAAGTCATGCTCAGATCCCTCCTAACTCCCAATACACTCATAATACATAGAACAAACCTCCACAAAACGTGAGGGAACTAGATCCCCCTAGATCCTAGATGTATATATTTTGTAGTGTGAATACAAAGGAAATAATTTTTCCAAGTGAAATTAGCATATGAGGCCTAAATAGTCTTCCATGTGTGTAAAAGATGCATGGATCAGGACTGGGAATGTGGCTTAGTGGTAGAGTGCTTGCCTAGCATGCATGAAGCCCTGGGTTACAAGTGGTGCTATGGCTCAAGTGGTATAGTGCTAGCCTTGAGCACAGAGAGGCTAAGGGACAATGCCCAGGCCCTGAGTTCAAGCCCCAGGACTGGAAAAAACCAACAACAACAAAGATACAAGGATTATAAAAGATACAACATGTAACAAATTACCTAGATAAGTCAACTATGTTATCTAATAGCCACAAGTACTTTAACAGGTTGTGTCCAAATTAAAAGCAGTTCAATTATTAAATATTAAGCCAACCTGCTGGTGGCTTATGCCTATAATCCTAGGAGACTGAGATCTGAGGATCATAGTTCAAAGCTAGCCTGGGCAGAAAGTCCATGAGCCTCTTATCTCCAATTAACCACTAATAAAAGCTGGAAGTAGAGCTGTGGCTCAAGTGATAGAGTGCTAGCTTTGAGCAAAAAAGCTCAGGATAGTGCCTCAGTGTCCAGGCTCTGAGTTCAAGCCCCAGAACTGGTACCCAAAACAAACTTTATTGCACAAGTAAAACTTTGAGAACCCTTATCTAGCCTTCACATTTGACTTAAGAGCTGCATATATGCAATATGTATTATCCCACAGAGTAAGGACATACACACTGAGACATTTATCTGGGGTCCATCTCACATAGCAAAACTAGTTTGCAAATATTCTCTCTGGTCACTTCCTCCTTCTTGGGAAATCTCTTCTCAGAATGTTGGTTCCTTAAGCAGTGCCACTAAAATGTCCTTCTAAGAGGTTTATAGACTTATTTGGGACTTGGTCCTTTCTCTACAACAGTGACATTTGTTTTAATGGTCTATTCTGTTTTCTTCTTGCTTTTGCAATCTTTGTCTCTCTTGAAGTATTCATTACTGTAAGTTAGACATGCTAACATCCTACATATACATTACCTTTTTATTTAAGATGTCATTTATTTGGTACTTATAATCCTGCCAGGTGGGAATGAGTCTGGGGGAAGACATCACCTTGATTTTTCCCTAGTCCTCCCTCAGGACTGTTGCTTAAAACCTGTGGGAATACAAAAAAGGGCTACTTAGCCAATGTTATTTTTCAAAGAACTAGGAGTCAAAGGACAATAACTATCCAACAAATAATTAAAACAACCAGCACAAGAATTGAGGATATAGCTCAAGTGGTAGAGCACCTGTATAGCAATCACTAGGCCTAGTGAAAAAAAAAAAAAAAAGCAAGCCTGTTGACTGAATTCTAGTAGTCTTAGCTGTTTACTGTCTTGATAGTCCAAAGACAACCTGATGGGACAATTCAAGCCCTGTGCTCAATTTCAGGGAGTATTTGGGGTTAAGATGTGGTATGTCCTGCTAACTATATAGAAAAAGTAGGTTTGTGTTACTTGAACTACTTATTTTTTTTTCTTAGTTTCAATTCAAGCAAGGTACAGCGGCTGAAAGCATGTCCTTTGAGCTTTGCCTTGTAATGGAGTTGCCTCTAGAGGGCACTGCACTCCACCATACTGTGAGGCCCTTTGACTTTCCTTTGGGGCACTCATTGGCGCGCTGTGTGTGTGTGTGTGTGTGTGTGTGTGTGTGTGTGTGTGTGTGTGTGTGTGTGTGTGTGTGTGTGTGTGTGTGTGTGTGAGATCAACTTAAGAGGGGATAAACTAGAGGCAGCTTCTTGCTTCCTAGAGTTTTCTGTAGTCAGGCAAAAAGTTGATTACAATGGGAAGTTATGAGTAGGGGTTTATTCTTCCATATCTTCTGTAATTTTTAATTTTCTCAAACAGAAATTTCACTATTGATTCATTTTTCTTTTTAAGGAGGGTTTTGATTTGTTACAGTGTTTCACTATGTTGCTCTCAGGCTGGTTTCCAAATTGTAACACAAATGATCCTCTTGCTTTTAGCCTGGACTGCAGTTACAAGCCTGCACCACCATGTTTAACTTCTGAGATTTGGTTTTGCAAAGGTAAGGTACGAAATACCATGAATACATATAACAAAAAGACTTGAACTGCCAGGCGCCAGTGGCTCACACTTGTAATCCTAGCTACTCAAGGAGTCTGAGATCTGAGGATCATAGTTCAAAGCCAGTCTTGGCAGGAAAGTCCAAGAGACTTATCTCCAATGAACCACCAGAAAACCGGAAGTGGCACTGTGGCTCAAGTGGTAGAGGGCTCTCCTTGAGCTGAAGAGCTGAGGGATAGCATCCAGGCCCCCGAGTTCAAGCCCTATGACCGCCCCCCCCCCCAAAAAAATCTGAACTACCCAAATGAGGTTCATATATGTACCTCACTTTGAGGTAGAAGCCTCATAAAATTTAGGTAGAGGGGTATAGAAAATCCAATGGCACCAGAAGAGCCTACTTAGTTGATTGTACATTCAGAGAGTCAAGCTTAGTTTAGCTGTTCTGTTTATGACATTACTAAAGAGCCCAACTTCATTCTCAGGGTCTCAGAGTACAAAGAACTTCAGTATCTCCATACATAGGGCTAGAATGCACTTATGTTTCTTTATGAAGAAAAACTATTTTCTAGGCTTACAATGTACCTTAACAGGTTGGCTAGTGTCACTGAATGGAAGAATTTCCCAGGATCACTGGGAGTAATGATAGCATCTAGGACTGTGGTTTGAACACAGAATCTCACACTCGCTTGGCTCTCTTGCTCATGGCTGGTGCTCTAACATTTGAGTCACACTAAGCGGCTAATTGGACATGGAATCTTGAGGACTTTTTGCCTGGGCTAGTTTCAAATCTCAGTCCTTCAATCTAAGCCTCCTGAGTAGTTAGGATTACAGACAAGAGATACTAGCACCTGGCTTTTATGTATGTTTTCATTCTTAAACTGGTTTTAGCTATTATCACCCATTAAATGACTTAAAAATGAACATGATTTAAAAAAATTCACACGTGACCACCAGTCCTGTTTCTCTTTCATTAAAGTAATCCTGGTTGTGTCCTTTCTGGTTTTTTTTTTTTTTTGGTTGGTGGTGAGGCCCTGAACACTGGGCCTGGGCGCTGTCCCTCAGCTCTTCAGCTCAAGGTTTCGCTCTATCACTTGAGCCACAGTACCACTTCTGGTGCTGAGGAACCCAGGGCCTCATTCATGCAAGGCAAGCACTCTACCACTGAGCCACCTTCCCAGACCTGTCCTTTCTGTTTTGTTGTAAAAGTGTTCTGTACATACACAAGTATATATGTAATTTTTTCTAATATGTAAGACAAGTTCTATATAATGTTCTGCATATTTTCCCTTCCTATATCTAGAGATCAACTGATTAATATATGAATTAGTATATTAATAAATGAGCTCTGCCTCAATTCTCAACTTTCCAACTGCAGAGTATTCCACTGTGTGATTTAACTATTACTTGTTTCTCCAAGTTTTTGTTAATGAACATTGGGCAACTTCCAACCTTTTGCTACTAGGACCTATTCCACAAACGACTCTGTTAATTAAATTGCAAAACTAAAGCAGCAGAAAATATTTCCATTCAACATAGCCTAAAATGTTCTGAATGTATTTGAGCTAAATAAGTCATTAGTTTTACTGGATTTACGTAAAATTAAAATTGCATATGAATCTTGAATTAAATTTAATGTGTGTGTAGTGTATGTGTGTGTGTGGGGGGGTGTATACTAGGGCTTGAACTTGGCTTGGTTCCAGACCCTTAGCCTTTTCCCTTAAAGTTAGTGCTCTACCACTTGAGCTACAGCTCTACTTCAGGCTTTTTGGTGATCAACTGGATATTAAGAGTCTCATGAGCCACGCACTGGTGACTGATGCCTGTAATCCTAGCTACACAGGAGGCTGGGATCTGAGGATCGCTGTTCAAAGTCAGCTCAGGCAGGAAATTCCCATGAGACTCTTCAATTAACCACCAGAAAACCATGCTGTGGCTCAAGTGGTAGAGTGCTTGCCTTGAGCTGAAGAGCTCAGGGCAAGCATCCAGGCGCAGAGTTCAAGCCCAACAACTGACAAAAAAAAAAAAAAAAAGTCTTATGGACTTTCCTGCCCAGGTGGCTTTAAACTATAATTCTCCAGATCTCTGCTTCCTGAGTAGCTAGGCTTACAGCTGTGAGCCAAATAGTGCCCAGTTTAAATTTCTTTCCTTCTTTCTTTCCTTCTTTTTCTTCCTCCCTTCCTCTTTCTTGCCTCTTTCTTTCCTCCTTTCCTCTTTCTTTCCTTCCTTTCTTTTTTTTCTTTCATTTTCTTCCTTTCTTTAATTTTCTTCCTCCCTTCCTTTCTTCCTTCCTCTTTCTTGCCAGTTGTTGGGCTTGAACTCTGGGCCTGGGCACTGTCCCTCAGCTCTTCAGCCCAAGGCTAGCATTCTACCACTTGAGCCACAGCGTCACTTCTGGTTTTCTGGTGTTTTATTGGATAATAGTCTCACAGACTTTCCTGCCCAGGCTGGCTTTGAACCTCAATCCTCAGATCTCAGCTTCCTGAGTAGCTAGTACAGGCGTGAGTTAACTGGGCCCGGCTAGTTTAAATTTCTAACGGTAGAAATATTAGGTGCTAGAAGATGCTGGAAGGCAGGCTCAAATGCCTGCTGAACTGATGGGCTCCCTTGAGGGTAGGATTCCACTCTCTCCGACATCTCCATTATCAAGCTGTTGAGGACTGAGTACTTAACACATTTTCATTTTCATTGAAGAAGTGGACAAATGAATGATGGATTCTTAGCCCTCTCCCAGCTTCAGGTCGTACTATGCATCTTCCTGAAAGCAGGCCAAAGCAGGAAGGTATTATGGATGAGGTTTCTTGACCACAGATCCCTGCCATTCAAAAATTGCCCCAGTCACCCTTACAAAGGGTAGGAGTGGCAATATTCACTTGGAAAAGAAAGAGGGGTATTTTTTTTTTTTAAGCCGAATCTTTGGTTATGTCAGCAGGTGAACTAAATTGAAACATAAGGTGCCCTGGGCAACCCCACCCCCACCGTAACCCCGGGGACCTCCTTGCCCCCCCCTCCCCCCCTCCAGTTACCTGCGACCAGATTCCTGACTAAACTGAGATGGGTATGGAGAGTGTTGCGGTACCCAGGAGCTGCGACGTGAACGACCAAGACCTAAAGGCAAGCGCCTGATGCCGCGGGGGAAGAGTCCGCAGACCCCAGCGGTTGGTTAATCCCGCAACCTCACGCCCCGCGGAGGGTCCGAGGACTCAGGGAGGGCGAGAGCACGCGTGCGCACTGGCACACGAAGCGCGAGAACGCGCGCAAAGCGCGCACACGCATCCGAAAAAGGGGTTAGTGAGGAGAGGGAGTCCCGATGGGACTCCCCAGGAGTTACCTGGGGAGGGCGCGCACGTGTGCGGGCGCACGCAAGGGAGCGCGCCCACAGGGGCGCGCACCGCCATCCTTCTCCCGCGTCCCTCTCCGAAGGAGGGGGGTGTGTCTATCACAGGGCCTCGTTTTTATCTCGCGCCGCCTCTCCCAGGTTGGCGCTCCAGGGCAAGTGACTCGCGTCCCTCAGAAGGGGAAGAGAGAAGATCTACTGAGTGGGGAGAGAGAGGAAAGAGAGAGAGAGAGAGAAAGAGAGAAAGAGAGGAGAGAGCGCAAACACCGCAAGGGAAAAACTGGCCACGGGTATAGTGTGAAGCGCAGCTCGAGGGCTGCAGCCGTCCACGAGACACTCCCCCTTCCCCCCCCCCCCCATCTCCTCACGCCCCGCCGGGCTGCGGAAGTGTTCTGTGGAGACCGTAGCAGCAGCAAGGAAGCGACCAGTGAAACTACATTTCCCAGAAGATACCGCGGTAGTTGGTGTGACTACGGCTCCCGGCAGCCTCCGCGCGCGAACGCGTTAGGCTCCCTTCAGTTCTCTCGTCCTCGAGCGGCGAAAACTACAGTTCCCAGGAGGTCTCGCGCGAAGCGGCTTGGAAGTGGGCAGCCTGGAAGTCACTCGGGCCACCGGAGCTGGCGGCGTCTTCCAAGCGAGTCGCGCGGGGGCCAGACGCCGCGGTCGAGGAACCCGCTCGGGCGGGCAACCAGGACACCCAGGTATTGGTGTTCCAGGCTGAAGGAGCACCCTGGTGCAAAGGTGGAGGGGATTTGGTGACTGCTCGGACCCCCCTCCCTCCCACCTCCGGAGGTCAGCACCGACGGACGACCAGGCGGACGGCCGGGTTGTGGGCACTGGCTGTGGGGGGCGGCGGCGCTGGGACTCATGCCCTCCTGGACCAGGCTGAGGGGTACTCGAGCCCGCATGGCTCAACTTTCCGATCGTGAAAGCCGCAGCTGTGTGAGGTGTTGGTGGTGGTATGGGGTGGGAGGGCGGGGGGGGGGGGAAGAGCCTGGAGTCAGGGGGAGCTGTGGGGTGCACGTCCCAGCCCCGCCACTTCAGAGCTGCAGTGTGAGGCAAACGCGTCGAACCTCAATCCCCCCCACCCCCTTTCGATGAAACGGAGGAGAATGTCTTGTCTTTTTAATTAATTTTTTTCTTTTCTTTTCTTCTTCTTCTTTTTTTTTTTTTTTTTGCTGAGGATTGGTTTTGAGCTCTGGCGAATAAGGCATTTGCCACATGGAAGGTACTTGTTAGGTGTTGGCGTTATTGTTAGCTCCTGGAGAAATGAGGTGAAGATAATCGATTGCACAGGATGAACGGTTAGTGGAGCATATGCCGAGTCCATAGTTAGCACTCAATGCAGGAGAGCTGCTAGGGAAACTGAGATTATTTTGTTTCAGAGCTTTCGTTTGGGGAAACAGAGATGGGGAGCCGGCAGGCAGGTTCAGATTTGATTTGAAGCTTGGCCACTCACCAGCTGTGTAACCTTGGCCAGCTGTCTTCAACCTCTTGTACCTCAGTTTCCCTGTTGTAAAATGGGGGTTTCATAGCAGCCACCTCATAGACAGTTGCTTTGAAGATGCAATGAAAATGCCATGTGTAAAGTGCTTAGCGCAGCAGCTGGCACAGAGTGCTCAGTAAATGGTATCATTTATTCAGCGTTTTCCCAGTGGCCCAAAGACCCTCTGAGAGGGAGTTGGGGGTGTCTCTGGCTGTAGTCTTGGTCTCCTCAGCAGTCCAGATTTAAAAATGGTTCACTTGATTTCATCTGCATTCTCAGGTCCTCATTTATAAAAATGAGACCAATAGCAGGACCACTCTCAGAAGGATGAGATTGTGTTCCTAATCTGAGCCACCCCTCACTAAGTAGCAGCTCTTATGTATTATAATTGTTGTTCTTCAATATTCTCCATCTGGCCCAGAGACTGCTTAACTGTGGGCTGTGACATGACAGCCCTAAGCTCCCCCACACGTTTGCTCCAAGCCTCAGTGTCCCATCTGTGAAATGGTAGTCATAGGACTTTTATGCCAGAATTGTTCTGATGATTTCAGGAGATAATTCATGCTTAGTGTTTTGTACAGGTCCCAGCACACATTAAGCACTTGATGAATGTATCTTTTTTTATTGTTCTTGTTGTCGTCTCTCCCCCCCACCTTGACTCTTTGCTTCTTTCTGTACTTGTAGGACAGAGGTGGGGACAAAGTTAGTGTATCTTCCTCCTTTTCCCTTAAGGTTAACTTATGGTATCTACTGTATAGTATAAGGGCCTGAGAAAAGATGATGTAGACCTGTTATTAGCAGCCACCAGCACAATGCTTTTCCTGTCCTTTACTTATTATTGGTCCTGGAGTGCTAGGGCCTTCTTTTTTTTTTTTTTTTTTTAAAGACAGGATCTCACTGTATAGCTGAGGCTAACCTCAAACTTGTGATCTTCCTGCCTTAGATCTCCAAGTGCTTGGATTACAGGCATGCATCACCATGCCTGCTACTAAGCATGCTATCACTGAACTACACCTCCAGCCCCAATGCTTTAATTATTGTCCCAGTGTGGACAGCTCCTGACTTTCTGAAGCCCACACTAAACCCTTGAACTTCCAGCTCAGATATGGAGCCTATGCTTCATTGGTGTCTCCTGGTAACTGTTCTTTGGCACTATAAAACTAAACATGTCCAACTTGAACTCCTCCTCCTCTTCCTCCTTCTCCTAGACTCAGTAGTCACCATTGTGGTGAATGGACTAGTATTGACCTAGTTGCCTAAGCCAGAAATTGGGAATTGCTCTTCTTCCCTTCCCTTCCCTCATACAGTTGATTGATAACAGGATGGAGCTGCTATGTCACAGAAATCCCATGTTGTTCTTCCATTTGAGGACCCTAGAAGATCCTCTAGCTCTTGGAGGTGGCCTTTCTGACAAGGCCCACTTGTTTCTTTTAAGTCACCAAGGATTAACATATGCAGCATATGTATTAAGAAGGGGCAGAGAAGACAATACTGGCTTGGCTAGACTGCAGTGGCTGCAGATGTGAAAGGCAGGCCTGACTTTCAGGAGACCCATTCTGTGATTTTAGCTTGGCACAAATCAGTTGAATTGTTCATTTATTTCTGAAAAATTATACTCTTTGTCAGCAGGTTAGAATATCCTGTGTGGGAAAGTGGCCACCCCTGGCATGTGGGGAGACAGCACACACACTACACACCCCAGAAAAGGCTGGAAAGGAAATTTACTAGATCTCAATTTAGGTTGAGTCTGCTGTCTGAAACCTGTCATTGTGATTTTCAATTGAAAATGGAAACTTGTGGTCTTAATCAAATTTATGATGGTCATTAAATTCACCTGTGTGTGTATATGTGTGTGTTTTATCTCCAGAAATAAGGCAGGGACTTAAAATACCTTGGAGATGGGAGGGGGAAAAATCGGGGAAAGGAGAGGAAGGGGTGCCATTGCCCAAGAAGCATTGTATTCATTACCTGACTTATGATTGTAATTCTTTATAAAAACAATTAAAAAAATTAAAGGGTTTCCTAACAAGAACAAAAAATCTTGGTTGGCCTCCATTGTTAGTGACAATAGCATATGGTTGTTTAGTACTCTGGGTAGAATGGTTTAAGTTAAACGTGAGCTTGTTTTTTAGACATTGCAGTTGTTAGGTGGTAAATCAAAAATGGAATTTAGGAAGTGTAGCAACCGGTACCTTTTTTTTTTTTTTGCTGCAAAACATGTTTTGCTGATAATTTCAAACTTGCAAAATCTAAATGTATTTACATTTTAATAAAAGAGTTGAGCAGTCATTTCTTATAAAGTGTTAATTTTTAGCTGTTAGGGGTTGTTGGACCACTTTGCACATTTGTATTTTCAAGACTGGTATTACTCCTAGTTTTTAGGATTGTTCTGGTCATGGCCTTTGTGTGTGTGTGTGTGTGTGTGTGTGTGTGTGTATGTGTGTGCATGTGAGAGAAAGATAGGGGAGGAGGAGAGATTAGGTTGGATTTGGCTTTGAAAAAGAAGTTATGCAAGAAAGATAGGCTCATTGTGACATGTCAGACAATTCAGAGATGTAGATGGAAAGTAGTTGTTGCTCCTCTCCACGCCCAAGTCCCATCCCTCAGGGATAACTGGTTGTTGAGATTGAATAATAAGCATCCACTGGCAGGTTTTTTAGATACCAGAGTGAAGAAAATGGATGTGCTTTTGCCTGTGATGATTTATTTTATTTTATTTTATTTTATGTCAGTACTATGGCTTGAACTTAGGGCCTCACATTCTTGCTTAACTTTTTCACTCACAGCTGGCACTCAACCAGGAATGATAGGTGCAGGCCCACTCCTAGTGAAGAGAGAGTTTTGCAGACTTGTTACCCAAGCTGGTCTGAAGCCATGATCCTCCCAGTCTTAGCCACCCAACCTCCCAACTGTGTCCAGCCAGGGGTGTTAAAACATTTTTTTTTTGGGTCCGGTTGTGGGGCCTGAACTCTGGGCCTGGGCGCTGTCCCTCAGCTCTTCAGCTCAAGGCTAGCACTCTACCACTTGAGCCACAGCGCCACTTCTGGCTTTTCTTTTTCTTTTTTCTTTTGTGGTGCTGAGGAATCGAACCCATGGCCTCATGCATGCAAGGCAAGTGCTCTACCACTGAGCCACCTTCCCAGCCCAACATTTTTTTTAAAGGGGGCTGGCCTCGAACTTCTCTCTTCCCAGTCTCAACCTGCTAAGTAGCTAGGATTATAGGCATGAGCCATTGTGCCAGACTTCATTATTATTTTTTTTTGGGGGGGGAGATTCGGTCATGGGTCCTGAACTCTGAGCCTGGGCGCTGTCCCTCAGCACTTCAGCTCAAGGCTAGCACTCTACCAGTTGAACCACAGCGTCACTTCCTGCTTTTTTTCTTTTTTCTTATGTGGTGCTGGGGAATTGAACCCAGGGCCTCATGCATGCAAGGCAAGTGCTTTACCACTGAGGCACCTTCCCAGCCCCTTCATTATTTTTTTTAAATGAAAAAAGTCTGATCCATCCACTTTTGAGTGGTTTTAAGTATACTGGAGAAAATAACAGGGTAAAAGGCTGGAAAGTGGCTGGTGAGAGGAAGGGGTGAAGGGAAGGGGTAATTACTGTAGCTGATGGTCAGGCAAGGCCTCTTGGGCCTCTGAAGAGAAGTCATGTGAGCTGAGACCAGAGTGAGCTAGAGGCACCCGCGGTGTCAAGAACTAGAGAAAGAACATTCCAGGCAGAGGGAACAGCAAGTGTAAAGGTCCAGAGGCGGGAAGAAATTTACTCTAGAAATAGCATCATAAATGAATGCAGAAGAATGAATTATCTTAAGATAATATCCATAGCAGCTATTGTAGTAATCGTATTTATTGTCTGCTAGGTGTTTCTCTTGGCATTTCATACCCATCCTTACTTAACTCTGATGGGAACCCAATGACTGGTTAACTTTACTGAGCTCATTTTACAGATGAGCAAATGATTTCAGGGTCAGGCTCTTCACTCTCTCTCCTTCCAGGCTCTCATTAGAAGGAGGCAGAGGCCAATGGAGGAAGTGGACACAGTATTTCCTGTTCATGTTTGTTTGACAGGCAGAGTGCTGCAGACTATGTTAGTGCCTTATTCATTTGGCAGCAGGAGCAGTGTGTGGATGATGTGTCATTTCAACTGGCAGTAAGACACAATAGACCTGGCATTAGTAGTACATGTATGATCTCAGGAAGACCATGAGTTGAG